GAAGCCGAAGAGCGGCACGAGTGCTTGAGGTGGCTCGACCAGCACGAGCCCAAGTCGGTCGTGTACATCTCGTTTGGCACCACGGTTTCCCTAACCGACGAGCAGTTGGGGGAGATTGCGGTTGGGCTCGAGAGGAGCGGGGCGAAATTCCTGTGGGTCGTCAGGGACGCCGACACGTGCGACGTGTTCGGCGGGTCGGGACGAAGGCCCAGCCCACCAGAGGGTTTCGAGGAGAGGGTTGAGGGGAGGGGGATGGTGATGAGGGGGTGGGCCCCGCAGCCTCGGATACTGGCCCACGAAGCGGTGGGCGGGTTCGTGAGCCACTGCGGGTGGAACTCGTGCGTCGAGAGCTTCGTGGCGGGAGTGCCCGTGGCTGCGTGGCCCATGCATTCGGACCAGCCTGCAAACACGGCACTGTTGGTGAGGGTTTTGGGGATGGGGATTATGGTCACGGAGTGGGCCGGACAGGCCACGCTGGTACGGGCCGGGGATGTGGAGGATGCAGTGAGGAGGTTGATGGGGCCCGGGGAAGGGGAGAGGGTGCGGAGGAGAGCGGAGGAGGTCGGGAAGATTGTTCGGGAAACGGTGAAGAAGGGCGGGTCGTCGAGGCTCGAGATGGACTCTTTTATTGCTCATATCAGCAGACAAGTAGAAGAAGGGAATAGTTAAGAGGGTTTTGAGAATTGGTGATTTGGTGATTTGCATAGAAAAATGGTGTTTACAATGTGCAATAATTGAGGTGTTAAAAATAAATAAATGACAATTGATTGATATGCCTTTTAACTTTATAAGGTTGTGATATGTGTAGTTTACGTACCTAAATAAATGATTTGGTTCTCTCATGGAATGCAATAGTTTAGCTTTAGCTATTTCCAGCAGCCTGCAACAGTAATAAATCTATTTAATTATAGAAAATTTGATGGTTTTCCATGTCAATAAGAATTCATAACAGTAGCTTTTTCATATTATTTTCCCAAAAGAAAGAGTTGCTACAGGCAAGGGCAACATTCGAGCTGTCTGAAAGAACCATCATGGGAGGACAGGTAGCTCGACTTTGGTGAAGGACATGAAACTAACCCGTCCGTGCTCAACAACACAGAACTTCAGGGGAACTCCGTTGCAACGTGCCTCAAGTTCTTCGATTTCTCGTTTGGATGGCGGACGGTCCCTGCAAAAAAAAAATAATAATAATAAAATACCAACTTATCATGATAGTGCATCCATTGTGTGAGCAGTAATGTCTAGATATAAGCAGTTACATCATTCAACCGAATATTTGAAGGGTCACTGTAAAGATATAGAGAAAAGCAAAACGAACTTAAGAAATATATGTGCCGCTGGTTATGAAATGTATGTTAAGTCTCAAGCTCAGTTCAATCGACATGCAAGATAAGAAAAGCTAATTCTAAAGTGCTGCTGGTTATTTTATTTTTACCGTTTCCACGTGCAGTGCTTCTGAATTAATGTCTCTGTGAGAGAGATAAATCCAAGGATTACAAAACAGCTTTATCATAAAAGTTAAAGCCACATATCAAAATCCAGATATAGTACTAGGCCATTATCTGCTAAATTCACACGATTCAACACTGATTTGGAAGGAAAAATTGATTCATAAATTGTTACAAGGAAAGAGATGAAATCAATTACCCTGTAAGGCAGAGCACGAAAGATGGATTTCCGGGAGATGATTTTCTAAACTTGCTATTAGGAGGATAAACGTCAAATATCGGTCCCGGTTCACCAAAATTTAACTTATTAAACATCTCCGTGATATCCTGGTTGTTTAATAATCCCACATCTCCAAGGTCGTTGAGTTCCGTTGTATTTTCTCGGGCCCCATCTTGTAATTTTACATTCTTCATAGACCAAGGGACAGCATGGCGGCCCACCACATAACCTAGAAGCTTCAAGTGCCGGTAGGCTTCAAAAGACTCCCAAGAGCATCTGTTCTTGTTCATGTCCCCTGCTATTTTTTCATATAAACTGCTTAGAGAAATGGGCTTGTCTTCACTGTTCACGACATCTAATGCACCAATCTCTGCCAAAAACCTGCAGAATGAATCTTAAACATCATTATCTGTATACTAGCTTGCTTCCTCAAAACGAACAGGAGGGTATTTAACATATACAGTTGATACAAACTAATTACTCAGAAAATAACAAGTTCCAGTGAGAATTTTACGTATTTTGCACCGATAAAAACACAACGGTAAGAATTTGTACCACGTACAATGTTTCTTCAATCATACAGTATGTCTTTCCATCGCGAACTATCCCAGTTGTGGTCCACATTTTACCTCTTTTCTCTACCAACTCAGCCATTCCCATCTCTTCTATCCACCGCGCCT